ATCTCCTGCTGCCACATCAGCCAACTTTCAATGTATATATGTATAGATATAGATATATGTTTGACGATATATATAGATATAAAAGTCCGACGAAAGTCTGTCACAGCTCATTTATTATCCTTTTCTCCCTCTCTGCCTACTGTTTACGGGCCGGTTCTGGTTTACCCCTTCTATATACTATAATATACATGCACTGTTGTCATTCATTGGTATCAACTATCCCTCCTTCAGATACTTAAAAAAATAAGAAAAAGAAAGATGACATGAACGCTGACGTGGCCGGATTTCACGTATGTAGTAATCGATGCAGTGATACACATATTACACAACAGCAAGGCTTGCCCATCTATGTGTGCGCAAAAACTCGTTTACATGTTGTGATCCCCCCCCCCCCCCCCCCCGCTTTTGACGAATGGTCACGTGAAGTGAGGGGGAAAAGTACCTTCAATGTGATCAAAATCACAGCATCCGTCAAAGACAAATGGAACTGAAAAAAAGGAGGAAATTTTGCACTATGCCGAGAAATTGATTGATTGATTGATTGATTGATTGGTTGCTTGGTTACTTGGTTGCTTTGTTGGTCTATTAATTGACGAATATAATGATTAATTGCTTGATGAATCGTCCAGATTGCCACCTGCCATCCCCCTTGTTTTCAGGCATGCCCTTCTGAGTCACCTGCAACGTTCCCCTAGTCCGCCATAGTGGAATCCCCTCCTGTGTGGTCGCTAGCGTGTCCGGTCAGTCCTYGCCATCCAATGCTTCCACGTTACCCTTCACCACCTCCTCCTACTCACCTTGCCGGTCGTGCCGCTCTGTCTTTTCCTTCTTATTCTATTGTTCCCCCCTCATTATATTTCCCTTCCTCGTCTTCCCCTTCCTCATCTTCAATGTCGTCCCGATGTTTCCCCTCGTTATGTTCCTCCTCGTCCTCTTCCCTTGCCCGCGTTGCCATCACCCTCCACCATATCGCCCCGTGCTTCCCCCTACTAAATCGAAAACAAACGAACAAC